CTAAAGTAATGCACTGGTTGGTTGAACTAGTACTGAAATGCACAAATACAAAATTGTTAAGCAGAAGGCATTAAAAAGTAGCACAAAACCTAATATATACTGACTGTCTGGCCAAAGAGCCATGAAAAGCAATATGTCTCTGGCTTCCCAAGCCAACAGAGCAGACCCTGCTATCAGATCAGCTCACCAGCTGACCCTCGGGTAAGCCCAAGATCATGTCCCACACTCTGGTTATTGGCCAGAGAGCGGAAAAAAAAAGCTAGAGCAGAATGGAAAGATTTGTCTAATAAGGCTGCAACACATTTCCACCATCAAAATAGTCCATTCAGTTATCCCCCCCCATCTATCTGCTGAGGTACCCTTGTGGAAAGGGGATGCTCCAAGCGTGCTTCACCATTTTCCTAGTGACTTGACTGAGTATCCATGAACAGAAATTACAACTCTTAACATATGCCACCTCAGCTTAAGGCTTGTTTCAAGTGACATGTTGTAACGCCTCTTGGTAGCTTTTAATACACCTGTTATTGTTAGTTGTTAGGAATCTAATTAAGACATTACTAATACTGCATTGTTTAGAGGTGTCTACGTGTGTTTTCCAGCCTTCATGCTCAGGATGCCTAACAGAACCAATGTCAGCAGAGATGTGCTCTCATACAGTTGTGCTGCATTGAAAAAATGAAGTATTAAATAGCTAGAAGCTTTGAAAGCTAAAGAGAAGATGTGCAATTGCAATCTCCGGAGCGTCTGTGTATACTACTTGAAATGTCTCATATTGCTATTTTGATTAATTTAGTAATGAGGGTTAAGATACTATTGTTTGGTCTGGAGTCATCATGACAGAGATGTAGGTAGCCTGTCTACTTTCACTTCATGTCATATAATCAGCTAAATGACCAAGTACATTTGAAGAGGAAAATGTGCTTCAGATTCTAGGATATAATCTTAGATAATATTCTGCTTAATTAGCCTTAAAAGCATTCAGTTATTTTAAAAAGGAATCTGATTTTTGATTAAATATATATATATCCAAAATCTTTTTAATATTTGATCTACAGAAAGTACACAGATGTAATTTCTTCTAAATAGGGCACCCAAGACCTTACGTAGCCCAGCTGGGACCTAGCCCCATTTCTAAATCGCAGCTGAGTGCTGTCCAGGGTGCCTCTTCCCTGGAAAAGAGGCCCAGATACCGGGGTCAGAAGGGCTCCAGGGTGCTCTGCTTTTACATCAGACGCTTAATGTAAATTATTGGTATGTATATAGCTCATTTTAATACCACAGTGGAACATAAGTGGTGGAAATTCTACCGCTGGGATAGGTCAGTAGAATTTGTCTTTAATCAGATATGGAAATGTGTGCACAGAAGCAGAGAAGAGAAGAAGTCGGAGAGAGGGTTATTAATATACCTAAAAACCTTCATTTACAGCAAAATGAAGTCAGTTGATTAGAATTTTTATTTTCGAGGGTATATAGAAGGAACAGATTGATGGAAGGTAGGAGATTTAAGTGGTTCAGGTGGTATAAAACCTCTTTTCAGTGAGTGGGTGGGTAAACTGGTCAGAAAACTAAGAAATGTTGTTATGTTTCTGCAGTTTTAGCTATTGTGAATCTTGCTACTTTACCTGATGGAAATAAAAGTGCTAAAGTACAAGGTACTTTGCATAAAGCTAATGTTATATTGTGCTCAAACTTTAAAATACACATAAAGATGTATACAGTCATTGCTGAGAGGAAGAAAGAGCAAGTATTAAAGAGCACCTACAAAAAACTTCGTATTTTCAATTTACGGTAAGTTTTAAAAAAAAGGTTAAGAATGTGTTTATATCTCTTGGAAGCTAATGGAACTTAAGCACAAACAAATGCAAGTTCACATTTTAGTGCAAAGCTTTAAAAGCATTCCTTTGCAAAGGTAGATGTTCACAAACGCTCTGTACTTCTATTCAAATGAGCTTTTTCTAGTTTACCAAAAGCAACCAAAGTTCATTTGAAAACAGAAATTATTGTTTGAAAAGAGAGAAATCTTTGGCGACTACCATGTTTCTTTCAGAAACAAGCAAAACTACTGCCAAACTAAATTTGAATTCTATTTTTAATGAAAAAAAAGATTGAAAAATGTTTGGAAAAAATTCAAATTGTTATTTGAAGGTTAGATTAATCTAAATTTAACATAGATAAGTTAAGAACAGACATGTGTTTTGACTTAGTGCATTCAACTTAAATACAACAACAACAACAAAACACGCTATTTCCTTGAATAGTTGTTATAAATTGCATTTTGTTTTAGCAATTGAATTAAAAGTCAGTTACTGAGGAGATCAATTAACTTTGTACTGTGGGTCAATTCAGAGAAAAACAAGGAAATTAAACATTTTTAAACATGGAGAAGTGGGGAGAAGGATTGAAAAGAAAGAGTTAACTGATTTGCTTCTCACTTCATATTTACTATTATTTATATGTATTCATCAGTTCTTTTTAGATGGCTATTTTCATTGTTATAGGCATCATTCTGTGCTGCAAGAAAGATTCAACTTTCATACTGTGAGAGAATAAGTCGATAAAACTTAGAAGGAACATAATGTAAGTGTAAAATGGCCTTGTTCTATATAATAAATAGCAGTTTTAGCACATTAACTACCTGGTTATTGCTCCCAGTTAGACACCAGCTTATCCGAGTGCATCCACATATCAAATAGCTTATGTTGAAAGAAGACAAAAAATATAATAGCTACTGCTACGTTCTGTGTGCTTTCATGTGTAGGTAGAGAATTGGCATCACAATTTTGAAAACCAGGTTCATCTACAATCATCTAGAAATCTCAAGCTTATACTATAGGTATTTTACATACATAACCAAATTGCATACAAGCAAAGAAAAGAAAAAAAGAAATATATTATTCTTCTGATGTGAACTTTTGGAGCATTTTGAGAATTTGATAAAGTTTTCACTCATATCAGCAAACTATTTAAATTAACAAGCAGCTAATGTGCAAAACACCTGGTACCTGATTTTTTGGCATTACTGGATCAAAAAGGAAGTAAAGCTATTCCTATTCTTCATATTTATAGTGTGTAGTCTTTTATACTCACTATGAGACCCATACAATACAATGCATCACTTCAGAAAATTAACACTTTTTTTACAATGCATATATTCTCCAAATAAATGAAAACAGCAGTCCAGGCCTTTTCAGTTCTTGGAAATGATGAAAAAGCATCTGAAGTCTGCTCTTGTGGCAATCATTTAAGAGAAGTACTCTATGGGACAGAAGAGGATGACTCCAAAAAGCAAGTGTTGCTTTCTCCAAATGGCTTAGCTGGGTGTTTTTTAGCTCATTTTTTTGTCATGAAATGGCCAACAAATTCACTTGCCACTCTATTATTTTCCTCCATCTCTTAGTTATATGAAAACATCAGCACTTTGTTTAGTCTTTAATTAGCATAATCCAAGTACAAAGTTCAGTCTGGGTAAGGACACATAGATATTGATTATCTGTCCTTTCCACCACAGAGTCAAAAATCACTTCTGTGCTGTGTTTATTAATATATGTTTGTAGGAATGACATTGAAATCTATCATCGTTATCGACCTTTATTTTCAGGCAGTCAATGGCCATTGACCCATGCAGATAAATTACTGGAGCGAATTTTGCAGTTGCTTGCTGAGACTCTTATATCAATATCCGACCTATTGATCACTTACACTTTTTTTTTCCCTTCTTTTTTGCATATCAACAAAGTATGGACTATGCATGGAAATTAAAACAAATGTATAAATAAGAAGCAGGACACAAATCATCTTCCTGTTCTCTGCTTGCACAGTGGTACATGGTACCTTTCTCTCTTCTACCTGTTGGTGTCAGCAAAGCACCCATTTTGCTAACCTGAATCTGAAGGAGTAAGAACAGTATTCCGCTACTGATGGTTCTCCAGATGAGGAACATGTCATCCTGTAGCTACAAAAGATGCCTTTAAGTTTATCTGTAGTTATCAGTAAAACTTCATAAGATACTGTTAAATTATAATTTCGAATACCATTTTTTTTTTAATATCAGGATTTGAATCCAAACATTCTGATGTTCAGCTGTGGTAATATCAGATTGTTTTCTCTGCCCTAACTGCAGACAATAGTGACTTCCTCCAAGGATGAGGTTTGAGGCTGACCTTTCCTGTAAATTCTGAGCATTCAGAAGCAGAAACTTAGCTTGATACAACTCTGACAATTTGAATAATTTCCTTGGACTTGGAAAATGAAATAATTAGCTTAGATTCAGATTCTTTTCTTTATTATAAAAAAAAATGAATTGAAAAGGAAGGCATAGCAAAGGCTGTATGCTAGTTTATTTGTGTCCTTTGTGTATTTGATTTGAAAAGGGCATCACTTCTAGACAGCTTCAGAACTGTCTTCAGCTGTTGTTTCAGGAGGCAGAGAGGGAGCCTTAGCAGGCAGATGGGCTGGTCATTATTGTAAAGAGCAACGTGTAAGTTCAAGGATGCAATCGATGCAGAGCTAATACCATTGAACTGGAAAATCTCTGTGATTCGTGTGATTCATTTTTAGCCTATTCACCCTACAGTTACTCTGTGGAGGCAGAACAGTGACTTCAGCATATAAGTATCACACTTGTTGTGCCTGACAGGTTTAATTAAATGGCATGATCCTATATATGGTTTTATGAGTTAATCACATCTTCTTCTTACTTCCTAACAAAGATTAAGACTAAAAGATTTTTTTGACAGAACTGCAAGTGAGGTTATGACTATTTTGTTTTTCCCTTCTTTTCTACACTGCTCCCTCAATATCCATGGTGTCTGTATTTATATTAGTGTTTTGGTTCAAACCAGTAGCACAGTTTTAAAATGAAGGCTGTTTTTCAGGGCCCCAAGGCCACTAATAGGCCATAATGACTGACCAGCTTCACCTGGGGTCTTCACACCCTGCCAAGGAAGGTGATTTCAGCTCAGTCCTGACTCCCCTCCTTGCCTGAGCTATATGATAGGAGTGCCTGTCTTCCGTTTGGCTTCCTGAACAGATTTCTGATCTCTGCTGTTGGCTTGTTTGCAGTTTTATCTCTGGCTTTTTCTTTTGCTGCTCCTGATGGTAATGAAAGGCCTGAGAACCAGAAATTTCTGCAGTAGCAGAAGAGAATTATGTGGGAGAATCTAAAGCTTCTTGATCTTGTGGCCATAATTGGATGCAAGAATGCTAATGAACAATGACACTAATACAAAGTGTTCTTGGAGACCTGGGACAAAACTGCTCTTGGTAAAGGAACCAGCAGGTGTTTCCCTGCTACATCGATCTACAACAGAGTTTTAGTTGGAAATGTGTATGTTGAGTTCCAGGATCATTTGACTGGACGGTCCAGAGGAGCTTGCGTGTGCTGGTGTCTGAGGTCTCCATACCGGGATGAGTTTCTGCAGATCCCTCAGGGATGATCCTCTGGCCTGCTCTATTCTGCAACTGGTAATGGAAGCTTCCTGTGGAAGTGCTTCATGCCACAGTCCTGGTAGGTGCAAAGCATTTCTTGAAATGATTTTATGAGATAAAGGAATGATGGTCGTGAAGCTTCTCAGTGGACAAATGTTACCAGTCCGACTGCAAAAGCTGTTACGCTTTCTGATGTAAGTCTTTTGGAGCTATGAGAGAAGTCTTTCTCATAAAGATTAAACAAGTGAGAAATCACTCAACCTGTATCCTAGCTTAGTCCTTGTTACCAGGTAGGTTGCACATTCAGCCTTGATGTGGTAATGCAGTCCTCTGAAACTTCACTGCCACAATTCTGACTTGTATCCTTAGTTTTCCACTAAATGTCATGGATTATATGCTAGTGCTGTGGTTATGGTGACACACTCAACAGGATCACAGACCCTATTTCTACCCTACAAACAGTAAGAAGGGCAATGCAGCAGGATGGCAGGCAGATTGGCTTAGATAACTGACTGAGCAGGAAGAGACGGGGGTCACAGGGCCGCAGAAGATAACAACCCCTCTTTAAAATGCAGATAGGCCCTCAAAGTCAATGACCTGTCATCTGGCAAAACTTACCACCCCGGTTGGTTTTCCCACATACAGGCTTGTCCTCTGAGCCAAGACCAGCCCAGGTTTTAGGCGTCATCCTACTGCTGTACAGCATTTAGTATCCAGCATGGTCCTAACCTGGAGTGAGCAGGTGGGAATGCTTCGTAGGTCAAGAGAGCATCAAACATTGTGGCCCTGAAGCAGTTTATTTTTCTTAATCTAAGCAAGATAAAGTGAGGGACTTGAATCCTTGATACAAAGGTAGAGCTATAAAAGGGGAAGAATATCTCTAAATTAGAATCAATATGCTTGCTTCAAATTTTCTAAGACTATCACTGCTTTTTTGAAAGTTGGATGTTCAACAGATGGTAACTATCTGGAAACCTGTTTACTTATATAAGCAAAGAAGCATATTAAAACAGATTAAAAAAAGATTTTGAAGTTTAGTGAAATGTTCATTCAGATATGTGATTCTGATCAGATGAGGACTAACAACTGCTTGGAATTGTTCTTATGTTACGTTCATTAATACACAATGATATGATGATATGGGCTGTTAAAAGGTAAAAGTAATGCTTCATTTCTGAGATTTGTATTCATCAGAGGGAATGTGAGGGAGGGAACTGTACTTACAGTAGGCAAATAAATGAAGCATAAAATTACGTTACTCTGTTGAATTTTTTAGCGATCAAATACTGAAAGTAATAGCATATTCTTTGCAAAACTCAATGGAAATTTCCACAGTGAATTCAATGCAGACTAGGTTAGATTTTGGGGGGATAAAAACCTCTGCTTGTTCCTTTGTTTACCTTGTCTGTATTCGCATATTTTTCTCTGACAGTCCTTTAATATTCAGCATTAGAGGCAGTTATCATGTCAAAAGTTTCAGTCTTTCCATCTATAAATATCAAGAACTAACTCAATGCCTTTTTTTTTTTTTTTCTGTCATACTAAATCTGCATAAACATCCTAATAAATGGTTCTTGCTGAGAGGATCATTTGCAGGTTCACACCTGCAGAAGTCACAGTTTGAGCCATACTTATCAGGTAGCTAAATCATGAAATGCTATTATTCTTCCTCATTTGAATGACTCATATGGTTAAGTATTGCAGTTTTCAGAAATGTGTATGATACAGGGCTGTTATTGTGGTGCTTTACTTCCTCATCCTCCTCACTCCTCCTTTCTTTGGCAAGACCAAAGCATAAATTCTAGTTTTGATGAGTATTTGTGTTAGGAAACAGCTAGGCTTGTAGGAGGTGAGCATGAAATGGTCATGGGCACAATACAGTTGGTTTATTTTACACTTCAGTCAAATATTTGTGGAGGAAATAGGTCTGCTATTTGCTCAGCCAAGCAGCTAAAGAATTCTGGTAGATGAGAGCTAACACTGCTGTCCTTTCAAATGTACTGTGCCATCTCAAGAGACCACAAGCAATCAGGACCTCAGTTTGTGCTTCATCTGATGGAGTGTTTCTGGTATTTGAATACATCTGTGTGTGCAACAGTCACTCAAAGGAGATCTGAATGGCAGAGCCAAAGAGAGTCGATTTATAGAAGAAAGCATTTCCTACAGGTTCACTGCTATGCCAATTACTTTTGTCTGTACTGGGTTTCTTTGGAGATTTCCTGCAGAAGAAATGAGCAAGATCCATTCTCACCACTAACTTAATACAATTCAAGATGTTTCCCCTGCAAAGAGGGTAAAGTACAACTGGGTGCTCTAATCAGAGTAAGTACTGCATAATTAGTCTTCCAAATGAATGTTTCCACTCATCGGGATGACTAAATAACTTGTTGAGTAAAATTCTTAATTTACATAACTAAAAGCTAACAACAGCTTCATCTCCCTTCATTTGATTATATTCTGGCTTTATATTTGCATCTCGTTGGCCACCTGCCATCCTCTAAAGGATAGGAGGTAATTAGAACCAGTGATAGTGCACCACTGTTACACTTCTTATGGCACAGATGCAGTTGGGTGCTATTATCATATCTGGTACAATTTTGTGGATAATATCATTATGCCTTTGCTGCCCATAAATTTAATTGGAAATGTGAATCAATTGAAAATGCATTTTAATCTCTGCATCATAATATGTTTTGCTTAACATAATGGTACTTCAAAGTTTTAATATGATATGTTACACTGTGTGTAGACAATAAATTCTCTGTTGCCTCTACATTCTTCTGTGAACATATACATACGCACACAGAAAATATGTCACTGTGGTAAAATAATCTACTGTACAAAATGCCCTAGAAAGTACTCTGAAGTAATGGTAATTGATATTATAAAATAAGTGTTACTGTTATATTCTGATTTCTGTATTTCATTTCACACAGACCAAGTGACCATACAATACCAAGATAAATTACTACAAGCAGTGAGACTGTTTACATAAAACTACCTCTGTCAAAAATTGCTAGTATTCAACCCTATTTACAAGTGTTCTGTTCCACTCTGTTATTTCTCATTCATCTACTACACGCCAAGAATAACAAAGCCTGAGGTAAAGCAGACTGCTCTGTAGAAAAAAATAAGGATTTTGGCAGACAGGTGCAGGGTCACTCAAAGATATTATTATTATTATTATTATTATTATTATTATTATTATTATTTCAATTGCAGGAATAATTTCTTCAATGCATTTAACACAAAGAATCAGTGCTGTAGTTAAGTCAAATGTCTCCCCAGAACTGAAATTAATGTGTATTCAGGATTCTAGGATAACGCAGGATTCTCCTTCTGCTGGCTGGGATTTTATAAAATCACAGAAGTAACTAAGAAGTCAAGTAGATTAGTCTTAGATAAAAAATGAAAAAAAAAAGTTTTAACAGTTTTCTGTTAAATGGGGATACTGATGATGTATTTTTTTTTTAATTCCAGGATTGGTTTGTCCTGGACCTCATAGTTGTACTGCCTCGATGGTTTAAGTCTGTTCATCTATCTTTGCCCCTGATCAGACTGGTGGGAAGTCCTGACCTACTTGTGAAATAACATCTCTCACTCTCCATTGTCTCAAATCAGTTCATTACTTCTTTCCACTACACCGTAGCACATAGTATGACAATGACTGTTGCAAACTGCAACACTCTTTCCTTCCCATTTGTTCTCAGAATCAGTTCAATTTTTCCTCTTCTATTTATCAGCCCTTTAAAATTCCATTGTGTTCATGAGTAGCACATACTTTCTAGGTTTAGAATGTCTCTTCCCATTTTTCACATCCTCACAAGTGTGGTGGAAATGTGTACGTTATGTCCCACATCAGTTATTAGTTGTGCTTCCTTCTTACCAGATCTGTTATTTCTATCTTGCTTTTCATTCCTCAGGGCTGACAAATCATACTTTCATATTACAGATGACAAGGTTGGTGTTAAATGTACTTTTCTTAAAATATCTTCTGCCTTCATTATCCACTTTGGAGTCCTAAAATGAAAAAGAAAGACTCCTCTAGATATCTGAGTCCTGGGGAGGGATGTAGGTCAGTTGTTAGTTCATTCTCAGGGTAAAATGTTGAATATTATACTACTTTATGTGTTGTGAAAGCTAAAGATTAGAGAATTCCATCATTGTTCATCTGAAGGAGCCAAACAGAATCACAAATTTATAATCTAATTTCTTCAGTAAGCATGGATGTGTGGTATAGATTAATACTGGAAGGTGATGGAAAGAAGAGGCTCACATTTTACACTGATTTAAGAAAAAATATGAGAAGGAAAGAGATGAAAAACATATATTCCATATAAACTAGCATTATAGTAGACGTCTGTGATGATTAAAAGAAGGGATACTACATGTCAGTAGCCAGATTTGCAAGGTGAAATGCCAACACTGGCTTTTATTTTAGGTATAGCACAAAACCTAAAGAAGAAGTTTATTTTATTAATATTGGAACTAAAAAGCATGTGTAGGAGGAAGCATCAAGTATATCTACTGGGAGATTCAGAAAGACATCTGCTTGGAGAATGAAGGTATGGAAGCATGCTGGGCACAAGGAGGTTGCACAGGAGATGTGAATATCTGCTCTGGCTACAAAGCTGTAGCACATCTGGGCTTATTAGGAAAGAGACATTTAAACTGTGGCAAAGTTGCTGCTGTTTTCATCATCTTGGCCAGATGGATGAAGATGTCATCAGTATATGGAAGGGAAACACAATGGTGGGGAACAAAATACTAATTTGATCTGAGTAGACTTACTTGGGAAAGATGGATTTATGGATCTTTAGATTTATATTGTTTCAGAATTTAAGAATTTGTATTGTTTGAGAAGATTTGTCTGCAAGGTTTCCAGGAGAAACATACTCTGTGATTAGCCCCAGTGTGATGCTGGTCTGAAGAAAAGAAGTAATTTGAAAGGGTCATTTTGTCTAGTAATGGCAATTTTTCCAGTAATGGTATTTTTGGCTTTTTCTTCTTCATATTACAGGCGGCATAAATAGTACCTATTTACATGGGCAAAGTTGAACAAAACTGGAATATCTGCTGTTTTATGGATTTTTCCCATCTCTTCTCTATATTGGGGGTAAATTTCACCCATGTAGTTTGTGCACTTGTTGGTCAGGATAAACATGTTTAGAAACAAGGAATTGTGTTTTTCTTTTGCTGCTTGGAGACTTCGTATTTAGGGAGAAATCTATAATAATGTTTTGTGCACCTTTCTCTGCTTACTTCAGATAAGTATATTCAAGTACTCTGCTTCTTCTAATTTGTTTCTTCTGTTAATCATCTGACTGCTCATTGAAAATATCTTAGGACTGATGATTAATCACATTGGCAACTCTTACTCCTTCTTAACATGTCATCAGTAAGATTGTCATTTCTTTTTCATTTTATTTCACAGTCTGTATTGTCTCACTTCTATTCTCTCCTAGATTTATTTTTTTCCTAATGCCATCCCTTTTTTTCCTTCCTTCGCATCAAAACAAGTTATACCCTCTCATATCAATGTTCATGTGCTTAATAGGCTTTAACACTATACTCTTCTTTTAGACAGCTCAGTTGATATGCTTTGTCTTTGAGAATCCTGGCATAAAGAACCTTTTCTGATCTCTTTACTTCTGTTGAAGTACTCCCCTAGGTTTTTTCCTTCCCTTTCCCATAGGTTATGGCTTTACAGTTGTTTTTCACTCTTCATTTTGGTACTTATATTGTCTTCCCTTCCTTTTGGTCTTTCTAGTTGAACATTTTACTCTTTCCTTCTCCTCACCCCTCCACCCCCACTCGGTAGTGTGTGGCTATTCACTAATGCTATACATGTACTTAACATTTTTCCTTGTGGATTTATGCCTCCTTATGCCTGAATTTTTGACTTTTGATTATCCATACATGTGCATATGGTTTTCTGTATACAGACAGATTTTAAAAGTTTACATGTACTTGATTTGTACTTGCTGTCTTTGAGCGTATCATTATCCAATTTTCTATAACCAAATTGTCCATGCAGAGTAACTGTATCAACTACATGAAGTTGTAACAACACAAATGTAAGGCCTGAATATCTGAAATATTGGTTAGCTGTGTTTTTTCAAACTATGTGGGGAAAAGTGCTGATGTGATACAAAGCTGCTATAGTGATTTTTGCCTCTAACCCTCCATTCTGCCTTTGGTGAAGAGAATGTGTTCCATGAAAAGGGTCTTAACCAGGATTCTTCTTACTTGAAGTAATTTCAAACTTCTGATGGAAACAACTCTTTGATAAGAAACAGAGCTGGGGCAGGTAGGAATTCCCAAAGGCTTGACAGTTCTGGGATCAGGAGTTTGCAAAGATGATTTAACTCTCTCTGAACTTCTATGACTGTGCAGTTCAGAGACGGGATTTTTTCAGTGTCTAAATGTTTCAAGTTTCTCATCAACTGAAAAATGTATCTCAACTTCTTAATAATGAAGGCACTGTCAGTAATGCCACCCTAGTCGATAGCATAAGCAAGTATCTAGCTTCTTCTCAGCTGTCCCTTTGTTTATTATAGTCTATTTAATTATCTATATTTTTTTGACTCCTTATCAGTGTGGTTTCCCATGTCTCTGTTTCGAAGTTCAAGGCTTGAGGACATGCAGTGAAAGGTAATTATTGGTCCTGTTTTTTAATATCGTCTTCAGGTCAGTGGGAGTTATGGGAACAATCTTGTTCTCTGCCTTTGTGCTGTAGAGCAAGGACTTATGAAAGGAAGATTGACTTAGCTGATTGTTTCCATGTACTTCAGACTTCTGGTGTAAGCCACATGGAACTTGTAAGGTATCCAAACCCCATGTGACAGCTTTGTCCTGTATTGGGAAACTGATTTGTAAAAATCATGCTTTCATGGAGAGCTGGTATATTGCTAACCAGGTATAGTCTATATCACACCATGTTGATCTAATTTAATCATCTTCATTTATACTTGTTGACCCAAGGTTTCAGACTGTGTCTTTTAATTCTTTACCAAGAGCTTAAGATCAAGTGAAATTTCCCAAATTCCTTAGCGTGTGGATAGGTGTTAAATCATGTGACTCAAGTAATCCCCTGTGAAGGAGACAGCTGGGAAAAAAAAAAAATAGGCCAGTGGCTCAAGGGACTCACCAGAAGATTTGCTGAAGCTGCATGATAGCTGCAATAGTTATTGCAGAGTTCTACAATAACTGCTGTTTTAAATTGAACCTGCTGGCAGGTCTTTTCGCTGGCAAATCTATTGGCATGACAAGAACTGACTAGCAAATAGAAGATACTACCTGCCTATATCCTAGCTTCCTGCTAGTTGACTCTCGTATTACACATGGGGATTGTAGAAGGTGACTGCAGCAAATAAAAAAGTGTTCTCAATGCTCCAGCTCAATCATGGGACTTTCCTATATTGAGGAAGCTTGTTGTTGTTGTTTTGTGGTGACTGACCATTTAGTGATGTGATTATCTCCTGAAGATGAATTTAAATCGTGCAGTTATAAGGAATACTTAAATTTAGCCTCTATCTTCTTTAGATTTGTTCTGCAAAGTAAAGTGGTATATATATCATGCCCTCATTGTTACATTTGGTGAATGCTTAAAAGAAAAAAAAAAATCCTTATGTTTCCTGAAGACAAGGAATAATGTTCACTCTTATCTCAGGATGCCATCTGTTGATGTTTTCAGCTTTGGTATGAAATAATTTTGTTTGCAAACCTTTCTATGGCATTAATGAGATCATGTAATTAAATCCTTATTAACAACCTCACAGATTTCTCTTGCTTTAAAAAAAAAAAAAGTAAAGATGTAAAGAATTTATTTTAACATTTAGAAACATAATTCAAAGTTAATAACTTAGATTTGCAGGACTGTAAAGAAGAGAGTCTTGTCTTCATCACTTTTTTTAACAGCCTCATGGTAAAATACTCACTCCAATTTTCACTCAGTGCTCAGTACATGATAGTGCTTTTGTAACAAATCATTTCTAATACCTGTTTTAACAAGTTTCTGACCTGTGGCATACCCTCTTGGTTAGAAGACAGGGGCACAGGCCAAACCATCTAGTGAAATCTCACTATGATGCACTGTGATGATTTTTCAGCTATAATGCATTGCTTTCCATGGTTTCTAACCTCTTTCATAAAACACTTGAATTGTAAAGGCAGCTTTAAAATGAATAATTTGCAAGATACAAAGAGAAGTTCTGCGGGAACTTAAGAAAAAATTTCTTCACAGTGAGGGTGACAGAGCCCTGGCACAGGCTGCCCAAAGAGGTTGTGGAGTCTCCTTCTTTGGAGATCTTCAAATCCCGCTTGGACACAGCCCTGTGCCCCGTGCTCCAGGTGACCCTGCGTGAGCAGGGGGGTTGGACTAGGTGATCTCTGGAGGTCCCTTCCAACCTTAAGGATTCTGTGATTCTATGATTCTCTAAATCCTAATAGTTCCCAAGTCTTGTTTTACAAAATGTTATTGAAGATTTTAACAAATGAGTCCTGACTGAGGTTTTTAAAAATTGCGTAGTTCTACTCGGATATTCCACTAATTTTCTCACCCTTCAACGTATCCTGTTGCCATTGTGTTTAGTTTTTCACAGAACTCCACTCTATAGGGTTTCTGCCAACAGTCTACCTCTCATTAGTGCACCTTTCACTTCCCTAGCTCAGTGCTAAATCAGCTTCTTCAATTTGTACTGGTCTGATTCAAAACTACAGGCCTCCCTGAAGTAAGGTGCATTGGAAGCTGAAAATGTAACCAGTTTAACCCAGAGAAATCTGAAATACCTCTCAGTGGTAAAGCTGTATGTCTTGTGAACACTGATAATAAAAAAAAGAAAGAATTAGGAGTGGTAGTAGTCAGCTGGGTAAAATCTGAAATGTAAAATGCAAGCAAAAGGTTTTTGTGCACCACCTCTCAGAGCACAGTTCAGTAAGAATAAAAACTGAGTCAATGTCTTGAAAGACTGACATACCACAGTTAAACACTGTCAATTTAAATATAATGTAAAACTAGATCAGGTAGAGAAAGTGAAGAATTTGCAGGTGAAATGACAAGAAGTGATTTCCCTGTTCAGGCCTAACTTTGATTCTGTAATTTGAGGAGCCTTGTTTTACTTTCATTCAGTAGTAGGCCCACTGTATACTCTGTTTTTGGGTAATGAAGTCAGTGGGAATATGTTGCTGTGAGTGATGTGGCCAGTCACACGAGAGTGGCAGCAGGGGCAGTAGGAACTCAATGTTTAATTTCTGCAAGAATTGTGCCCTCAGAATGGTTTATTGACTGCTGCAGCTTGTCTCTTTAGTGAATATATCTTTCATCTGGCTAAGACCCAAATCTGGATTGCAAAAAGCTAAAGATAGTGTGTTGAACATAGGGAAGCATAATAACTTTCAGGAAGGGAGCTAATACTGTACTGGCATTCTTGTCTTTGATGTAAATAACTTTAATAGGTGTGAAGAGCCTTGGCCTTTCCCCAGAAACCTTCCCCATGGAGCACTGCAGAAATTTAACTGTCCTGTCTGAGTAACAGTGTGGTTCTTGCTCTGCTCCCTGGGCAATAAGAGCAAGCTCTGTCTCTTGTTCAGCTTAGATGGCATGACTACAGCAACCATCTGTGCCCGTGGAAGGGAGACTGATCACTTTGGTGTGTTCAGGACCTATTTATTTTCTAAAGACGAGGAATTGTTGTCATTACTTCTACTATGTAGGCCAGGACTCTGTAAAAGCGGCCTGGGGGACTTGGAGGCTTGTTTGCATTAAAGTAAATGGCACCTGGGTATGCAAGCCCTTGAGGTGACATTGACAATTTGTACCTTGGCCTATCTGCTTCTCGACTTTCCTCATAAACAAGGAATGGATCAAAGGAGACTTGTGACATTCTGTTTGATATTAGGACAGAATGATTTCCTTTCGCTGGAAACTGTAGAAGATACTGCAGTAAGACAGGGCTGTCCGCATGGGGAGCGAAATCATCTCTTGCAGGAAAAGCAGAGCTATTTCTCAGCTTTGGAGCTCTGTTTTTGATCATGTTCAAATCCCTAACCCTGTGGGGAAGGGCTGTGCGAGCAACTTTCTGAGGCCTGGTAGCATGCAAGGCAGTAAGCAAAAATGTCTTCTCTTCTATGATTGTTAAGGGAGAAGCAGTTACTTCCCCCATTTCAAGATGCCATTGAGATTTATGTTAACATTAAGATAATACTATATAAAGATAATGTTAAAAATATAACATAAAGATATTAAGCCAAGTGCCTCATGTTGTATCATTCGTAGGCTAAGACAAAAACTGTAGGTTTTTAATTCATTTGTGTAACTTGCATATTCACTTTGATTACAGAGACATAATTAAGATGGGTCGTTACAAACACTGTGTTTCCTCGCAACATATTCATGCAGTAGTAACTACGGTGTTTTACAATATCATGTTCATATGTAAAGAAAATTATCTGTTTAGTTAGAATGATATCACTGGAACCAATTTAAATTCTCTGGTAAGCATGATTATTCATTAGTTGGCTGCACATTATCTAAAAGCCCCTTGTGTCTAGGTAATGTAGCTTAGTATATTGTCCTATCCCAGATACATTTGCTCACAGAAGCTGAATACACAGTTTTAACTGGTTCAGATGAAACTATTTTGTTTTTACATTTCCTAATTAAATTTGGGTAAATTGCTGCTGACACATCTGTCTTAGAGTAGGGCTTCTGACCTGCTGCAAAATCTCTTTTGGAAAACAGCTTCTTAGGCACGATGAGGTCTGTTTCTGAAATGACAAAAAGGAAAAAGGAGTTTTCAATTGGCAGCTTGGTGAGCTCCTTTTGAATCGATTGTTTTATGCAGCTGAATTTTAAATTGCAATGTTAATAGCATGCTAGGTGCTGAACATGCTGGAGAGGTGTCTTCGGTATTTAAATCAAAATTAATAAAATATTGACTTATCTGAACTCAGTAGCCCACTGAATTAAGCTGAAGCAGTATATTCCAATTTTAAACAATACATTTGCAGGGATTTATTCTAGTTTAAATCAATGGTTAAAACTTCCCACTTTGAATTTTTTGGCACAAAGTTTTGCACATAGTACCTCGCAGGTTTTGTCTGTTATATGTCACTGAACCTTCAGTAAGACTTTTACCTTTCCTTGAGGATTGTAACTTCCTGTATAGTTTACTAATTTCTTAGTGCACTATGTGATTTTATTTTATTTTATTTTAATTTTTATTTTTAAGCAGAACAGCAAGATGATCCCCTTAGTGCCCCTATTCACAAGTTCAGGGTAGGATCCTTAACACCCGCACTCGCTGCTGAGCTTGACTTTGGCCTGAAAATTTAAAATCAACTACAAAAAAAATGTGGAAGACAAAATATTCTTCCTTTCCTCTTAGGATTGTTAGTTACTATATGCTGTAACTGCCCACTGGTGTTAGAGGTCCAGGTTGGTAGGACAGCAGAGGACTCAAGGTTTCTCATGTGAATGCGAGTGGAAAGCTCTCCCTAGAGGATGTCAGTTTTCAAGGATCCAGTAAGCTGTGTAGCTGGCTCTTAATAGCTATAGCTTGCTTATGTATTGAGCATTCATTTCCTGCCACCATATGGCATCTTGAATATATATCCTCTTTTGCTGTTCTGTTTTGTAATGAATTAACATTTCTGGATTATGCACTGTGACTCTGTTTATACACTCTTATTCATATCATATAAATCTGCCAATTGAATACAAATATTATATATTACGTTTTCCACTGAATTTTAATATAAGTGATTTGAAGAAACAAATAGTTTTTAGTTTTTATATTCTTTCTAGCTTTGCCTGTTTCATATACCAATTCTGACCAAAAGTAACAGTCCGATCTATACTGATCATGTCTTAAAATTTCAGT